ATCTCATTTCTTCTTTCTTATAGTGCAGAGACTTTTTTCAGGTTGATGGATGCTTCATGTTTATTTGTTGTTGTTCTTCGATGTGAAGAACAACAACTTTAGGAGAACTCTAGTGAATAGTGGATTTGCTAATTGTTGGTGAAATTGTTGATGATCCTGGATCGTAAAAATGTATATAGTCTGGAAATTGGCTTCTGAAAGAAGTTAGTAAATAATATAATTTTAAAAATAAAAACCATCAATAATCATCATGTGGTAAAAAAAAGAACAGAAAAGCTAAAATCGAAAATAAAATTGGGGGGCCTCATGTAAAATCGTCGGCCCAAAAAAAGTCGTTGTTTGTAAATGTGTAAAAAATTGTGAAAGAGGAAAAAGTGCATTGTTCTTAAGTTGTTGTTTGATATAGCCAACAACCCTCGAATAAACCAAAAAGAATTGTAAAAACAAGTTAGCAAGTTAGGATAATATTGGAAATTATCGATACTGTGAAAATTGTGAATATTTCTGGATGTCCTAGAAGTGTGAAAATATGGCCCTATTTATAGACTGTCAAAATCAGGTTAAAGGGTAAAAAAAGGAATAATATAAATCAGATCTTTCTTGGTCAACAAGTTGACCAATCAGAAGTTGAGTATGACACAAATTGGCGCAAATTAATCAATAAGAAACAATTATCTCGAAAAGGAAATATTTTTGGTATTTATTATGATTTTTGCATTCAATTTTGATGAAAAGTGCATAAAATCAAATAAATAATTGTTTTTTTAAAATGCCATAATTAAAAATACAAAAATAATATTTAAATAATAAAAAAACATGATTTTTGTGATTTTGAAAATAATTAGAAAATAGTTAGTAAAAAAATATCCAAAGTGCACTAATTGAGATTGATCTATTTTTCTCATAATTTTGAAGATTGGAAATTGATTGAATATTTGGTCCATAATTTGGTGAACAAGATTATGAATCTAGCCTTGTTTATGACTATTCTAAATATGAGATTGATTTGAAAAGATTAATTTATAAGGTATTTTTACTATTTTTTTTAAAAATAAAATAATAATTTTAATAAAAAATAATATTTTTAAATAATAAATAAATACGAAAATAATAATTTAATAAAAAAATAGATTTTTTGTGGTTAGAAATAATTGAAAATGAAAATAAAGTTAGTAATAATAAACAACAAAAATATCTAAAGTGCACCAAGTGAGATTCGAATTCGTGACCTTCTGCTTGCAAGTCTTTCTCCCTTACCAATTGTGCTATGTTACTTAATTGAAATAAAAAGCCAATTGAAAGTATATGAAGGTGAACAATTATTTGCTATTTTTAAAAATACACATAATTATTATATTTTTAAACAGACTTGAAAGCGAATATTTATTAAAACCCTCAAAATGTTAATGTAATTAAACCAAAGGAATCTTTCACCATGTAAAACACAAGTTCGAAAATAAATTTGACAGTAGCAATAAGGCGGACAAATTTGGGGTATGACAGCCATGTTGAATGGCGCCTATGTACAACAAAGAGAGCATGCGCCACCTAGTGTGGCTCCTATGTGCAATAAGGAAGAGCATGCGCCACCTAGTGTGGCGCCTATGTGCAATAAGGAAGAGCATGCGCCACCTAGTGTGGCGCCTATATGTATAAGTTACATACAAAGTGTTCTTCAAGATTTTCCTATAAATACATGTAACATTCACCCTATATTTTCATCACAATCATAACACATACACTATTTCTTTCTTAAAGTCTCAACAATAACGCAAGAGTAATCAAGAAAAAATGTCTCTCTTGACCATGGGTGATCAACATAGAGGAACTCCGAACAACATTGAAACCTTTGTAAGTGTATTTCTCGGTATCTCTATTTTTTGTCGACAATTTTCCCCCCTTAATTCTTATGATTTTTATACGTAAATCTTGTATTTCTTATACGTAATTCATGTTTTAATAGGATGTTAAAAGATTCCATTGTCGTGTCCATGAGTATGTCCCTTACGATGTTCAAATTGAACCGTACTTACGACATACCGGTTTTGGTCTGTTACTCAACATAGTCAATTACCATGTTGACTATAAAATTATTCTCGCATTAGTGGAGAGATGGAGACCCGAAACTCACACCTTTCATCTTCCATGTGGTGAATGTACAGTCACACTAGAGGACGTGTACATGTTATTCGGTCTACCGATTGACGGTAAGACTGTCAATGGTCGAGTCAACCAAGACAACACCATACGCGAGGAACTTTTGGGAGTCTCTTTATTTAAGCAAGGGTCAAGAGGCCAAGGTATTAATCTCCATCTTCTTAGAGAATATCATAGTAGTCTCGTAATAACCGAAAACTCTACCGAGCAAGAAAAAATTGTGAAAGCTCGGTGTTACATAATGATATTATTTGGCCATTTTTTATTTCCTGAAATAACGGGTAATACTGTTAATATCATGTATTTACCCTTGTTAAGACAATTTGATAAAATAAACACATATAGTTGGGGTTCAGCTGTTTTGACCCATCTGTATAGTTCCTTGTGTAAAAATACATCGAACGGTAGTTGTTCTTTCTATTCTTGCACCTTTTTGCTCCAGACATGGTGCTGGTCGAGAATACTGACACTCGTCCCCCGCAACACAAGGCCATTCGTCTTCCCCTTTGCTACAAAGTAAGATTACAAAACCATAAATTTTACATATTATATACCGAGACATGTAGTGTATTAATTTATTACCTATTTTTTCTATGTAGGTGGTCTGTTCCTGGGATGAATTACAACAAATCCCCTAGAAATGCAATAGTAGTCTACCGAAATCTTATTGATCATGTTGGACCCGAAGAGGTATTAAACTTACATATTTTATACAACACATTCAATAGTTTAATTAAGTTTAATATTTTATATAACTTTTTTTACTCTACAGTTTGTATGGAGGCCGTATAAGGATCTTGACCATGAGATTAACCCTCCTGATGCTGAAGTCTGGACTGCAAAAACAACACTCATCAGGTTCACTACTGTAGAGATGCACCACAGTGATCGTGTGAAGGTACAATTCGGCATGCAACAGGGTATCCCCGACCCCTAACATGTTTGGGCCAATGGCATCTACTCAGAGTTGACGACTAGTGGGTATTTAACGATTTGAGAGACTTCGCTAAAAATCAATGTCGTCAATGAAGGCATAGATGTGAATTGGTCCTAAGAGAGCCGATCTTGCAAGATGACTTAAAACCGACGCTCCAATATTTGAGATGGTACACATCAGTTTCAACAAATTCGTTTGTCTCAAGAGACTTATTTGATCGACCCACACAAAAGAGCTGCAACATACGCCCAACAACAACCCCAACAACCAACCCCTCAACAATACCAAACCCAACAACCAACCCCTCAATAATACCAAACCCAACCACAATGTCAACCCACTCAAACCTAACAACCATACACCACCTCATTCAACCAAACCCATCATCAATTCATGCCACACACACAAACATAATACCAAGAGCATGACCCGACCCACCACCAACAATATGCACCATCCTCATCCTACCGCAACACCCAAGACACATATGATATATCTCTGTCCTACCATACCACCCAATCTACATACAGTCAAACATCACACGATTGAAGTATCCAACCATCATACGAATTTCATACACCACAAGAACCGTTGCTTCGTTTCCATCATGATTCAACATCCCAATACTATCAACCACCCCACCACCCACACACATCCCAACAACAAGACCAAACTTCAACAACATGGGCATCGATCTCTTTGGAAGCACAACCATGTGGGGCGAAATGATCGATGAGATGTATGATCCTGATGTATCATGACCATCACATCAAGCACCTCATAATCAAGCGAGTCAGAACAGACCACAAACACCTCAGAAAAAACAACAGAGAGGAGTGAGACAAGGGGCGGGGCAAAGGCGCAACCGTTTATGTCATACTGGAACCCACTTAGGTTGAAAGGATGTCCAAAAAAAATGTATCCATGCGTTGTGTAATATTAAATATTAATATAAAATATTTTTAGTTACTTTTATTTTATTTAAAAAAAATTGTAATGACACTGTTAAGTCAAGGAGGGTGACGCCTCCTCTCTAAAAATACATGCATGCGCCACACTGCATGACTTTACAGAGGAGGATAAACCATGCAGTGTGGCGCCTCCTCCTTAAAATGAATGCATGCACCACACAGAGTGGCTACTTCTCTGTATGGCGAAATTTTTTTGTTTGAAAATTGATTATTTAATCAATTTTCTGAAAAAGTAATTATTTAAAAAAAAATTTAAAAAATGGTATTTAAAAAAAAAATTCAAAAATCTCCTTCACAAGATTAAAATTATACATTAATTTTCTTAAATATTCAAAATTTATTTTTCTGAACATAATCCTTCAATTTTAAATTTTATTAATGTCTTAAGATTTCTCCATCTAATTGGAAACCAATTCATACTGAGTTTTAAGAAAAGAACAATTGATAGGTCACAAGACACAAGGGGTTGAGAAGACGACAAATCTCAGAAACCCAGTGTGTCAGAAATATCTGCAACACACAGAAGCAGCATAGTTCAACTATTACCGGAAATAGCCGGTTCTTCTCGTAACCCAACGTATCATCATCATCACCAACATCAACACATCTTCCAACATATACACACTAAAGTGAAAGAAACCACACTGTTACCTAAGCCAAAGAAATCGAACAAACAAAACAAAACAAAACAACTTGGTTTTTGGTTTTTGCTTTTACTTGTGAGAGTGAGTGTGTGAGTTTGTGTGCAGTTTCAGTCTCATTCATATATGCGTGTGTGTTGGAAACAACACAATTTCAATTCACGTAGTATCATCATCATTATAATTATTACTGTATCTTTTCGTTTCACAATCACCATCACTTCCATCACCGTCTCTCTCTACTTCAAAACCAAACCCTCTTCTTTTCCATTCTTCCATTGTTTTTTATACACCATGGCTGAGAATTTTGAACACTATCATATCCCACAACAAAGCAGAAGAGAAAAACTCAGATTCTTATCTCAAAACCAAACATCTTTCATAGAATCTCCAACAACCCTAAACCCTACTTCAACACCTTTACCTTCTCTCTACGATCCTTCATTCATTTCACCTATTTTCTCACCTTCCACCAACCAAACAATTGAGGCTATTAACACCAACCCTTTTCTTTATCAAACTTACAACGATGGTGGTAACACCAACACTAACAGTGAAGTCATGTTGCTGAAATCTGAGCCTCTATCTTTGTCTTTATCATCGTCACAGCAGAATAACCTGACTCAGATGAGTGTTCATCATCCTCTAGAGGCCAATCTTCAGAGATATGGGTCTGTTGTTGTTAATGGTGGTGGTGAGGTTTCGAGGAACACGGTTCCGTTGGGACCGTTCACGGGGTATGCTTCGGTTTTAAAGGGGTCGAGGTTTCTGAAACCTGCACAGCAATTGTTGGATGAGATTTGTGATGTTGGAGTTTGTGTTGAGAAGATTGTTTCTGCTGCTGATTTGTCGTTGATGGAGAATTCTATTCAGGAGAGGAATGGAATTGTTGAGGATGGAAATGATGTTGAGGGTAGGAAGAACAAGTCTAGACTATTAAATGTGCTTGATGAGGTACAAGGTTTTTCTTTTTCTTTCTATTTGATTTTCTGAATTTTTCTTGTGTGATCTGTGTTGTTGAGAATTGAAAATTTCATGAAATGAGTTTTCTTGAATGGCATTATATTTTAGTTTAATTGTGTCACAATTTGGCATTTGTTGTTAAATGTTTTATGCTTATAGACATGCATACATTTATCTTCTATGTATATGTGTATGTTTCTCAATATTATACACAACACAAGGTTTAGGTCTTTATATTGGTAATGGCGTCGGGTTCAGTGAAATTGAGTCCTTGCCTCCATTCATGTCCGTCTTAAGCTTTTGGGGGCTCTAGGCAAGATAGTTACGGTTTAACTGTGACAAAATAAATACGGATTCTATTTTACGATAGCATAAGTGACAAATATTTTGAGTCCCTATTGAAATTGTGAGATAATTCTTCATTTTCAATCATGAACAGATTTGCAGGAGATACAGACAGTACTATCAGCAGATACATGCAGTAATAACTTCATTTGAACATGTTGCCGGCCTCGGTAACGCGGCTCCCTATGCAAGTTTGGCTGTAAATGCCATGTCCAAACATTTTAGAGGCTTGAAGAATGTGATTACTAACCAGCTTCAGCTTATCGGTAAGTCGAATTTTCAGATAAACAATACAAAGGACGAATCTCCAAGGTTTTACAACAGCGACAGAAGCCCTTACAGTGGAAGGCCGGAGTTTCTCGAACACGTTCAACAACCTGTTTGGCGACCACAGAGAGGACTACCTGAGCGTGCTGTGAGTGTTCTCAGGGCATGGTTGTTTGAACACTTTCTTCACCCGTAAGTGTGTTATTTCGATCTTAATAAAATCTTAAGAAACACACGTACACCAAACACGACATTGATAATAATCTTAGAACACAAGTGATTGAATGTCGATGTCAAATGCCAAAATGTTTCTCTGATATGTTGTTGTTCTCTTGTTTTAGTTATCCTACTGATACCGACAAGCTAATGTTGGCTAAACAAACTGGTCTATCTCGCAACCAGGTAAACATTTCAAGATAAAATCGCCATTATCTGCATAATTTCTTGCTTGATTGATGTATTCTTCGTATTATTATAACTAGTAATGTCTATGTGTCACAGGTCTCTAATTGGTTTATAAATGCAAGAGTAAGGCTTTGGAAACCAATGGTAGAGGAAATACACATGCTCGAATCACAACAATCTCAGAAGGATCCATCACAAAGAGAAGAACTTATCCGGAAAAATCCGAGCGATAACAACTTTGCTGAGAATCAATCTACCTCCACAGACAAGTTCCACGACGGCTCATATAAACGAACTAGAAACGAGCTTCACAATATGCCGGTGATGAATCAGAGTATTGCAAGCAATCAACAAGTCGGTAGTGTTGGAGTGAGCATGATGAATAATGGCACAACAAGCAATGGTGTCTCTCTCACACTTGGCCTACATCAAAACCATGGAATTGGGTTGTCCGAGCCCTTCGACTTGAGTGCCGCTCACAGTTACGGTCTTGCAGTTCAACCTGATAGCTATGTCGCGAGTGGTTTTCTGTTGCAGAATAGACAGTTTGGGAGGGATTTTATTACAGGGCAACTTTTGCATGACTTTGTAGGGTGAATGTTCAATCTACTAACTTTGCATTTACTCTAACCATGATCTTATTATTGGTTTCATCGATCTGAAGAAATTATAAAAAGCAAAAGAGTGATTGAAATATTTGGCTCCTATATAGTATTATTGTAGTTACCTTCTAGTTTGGGATGAAGTAGTTTTTTGTACATTCATTTTATCTTGTTAGTATAAAAGTGTAATGTTCTAAGCTGATCCGTTCCATTCTTATAGCATAATGTTAAGCAACCTAGGTGAAATGGAACGGATCAGCTTAGAAGATTACACTTTTATACTAACAAGATAAAATGAATGTACAAAAAACTACTTCAGTATTTTTGAACTCGGGCATGTCCGCACCTTGCTTAATAAATAATAAAATTTAAAGAGTTCAAATAATTTTTTGTATTCATCAATTGAACTGGTTGTCCTTTTGTTGTAGCTGAACTCCTCCATCCTTTGAGAATCGGATATAGTGTGTTTTTAGCAATAAATAAAGTTTTTTTATTCCAAAAAAAATAAATAATAATAAAACTTATATGTGGACAAAAATATATAGAGAATAATAATGGATTAAAGTTGTGAATTTTATGTTTCTTCGAAGTTAGTACCTAAAAATATAATAAAAAATTAAGAAACCAAAATAGAATAAAAAATAAAAGAAAATAGGAATCAAATATTAAGAATATTTTTAATAAAATTATTATTGATAAATATTTAAAAAGTCATAATATATTAGTATTAACTTTTTAGATTGAAAAGGTTAATTGTTAAGCTAAAATTAAATTAAAAAAAAAAAAAAGAGATCTAGAATAGTGAAGGTAAAACAAAAATAAAAAATAAAACTTTTTAATCAATTGAATAATAAAATTTGAAGAGGTCAAATAATTTGTTTTCATTTCTTATTTGAAAATTTTACAATAACCAATTTGAAACAGTTTAATAATAAACAAGTATCTATTAAATTTTATATAAAATAACAAATAATAAATATATAAATTTCAAATATAAAGCTCATATGAATTTTATAATATAATATAATATTTAATAAAATTGAAAACTAAAAAAACTAAGATAAGATATATTATTAAAGAATGTGATCTTTCTCTCTTTTATATCCCTAAACAATTTTATGTTGTACTATATTTGTGTTAAAATAAAAATTTGGTTTAATACTATTTTTCGGTTTTGATGATAACAAATGAGTATGTTTGTATGAACAATTTTGATACTATAATGTTTGTTATTTTTGAGTATTTAACAAACAAGTTATGCTTCTGATGGATGGTGTGGCCAAGACAATAGAAAAGAATTAGTTCTGCTTCTGCGCTACACAAGTTTTGATGAACAGTAGCAAGACACTCAAGAAGCTTCTAAAGTATAGGCTCAAATGTTTGTCTAAAAAAATAAGTCATAAGATCTGAAGACAAAAGTTCTATTTAGGTCCAGATGCTGAAGACTCATGCTTCTAAAGACAACGTGTTCTAAAGAAATAAGTCAGAAGATCTAAAGACGAAGTTCTACTTAAGTCCAGATGCTAAAGACTTATGTTTCTGAAGATAATTTGTTCTAAAGAAACCAGTCAGAAGATCTGAAGACAGAAGTTCTACTTAAGTCTAGATGCTAAAGACTCAAGTTTCTAAAGATCCATGGTTTTAAGAAAAAGGTTTTAAAGACCAAGTGTTAAAGACTCTGAAGACAGAAGTTCTAAAGACTCTGAAGACTTGAAGTTCTAAAGACCCAAGGTTCTAAAAAAGGTTCTCAAGACCAATTACTGAAGATTCTGAAGACAAAGTTCTGAAGACTTTGAAGACTTGAAGTTCTAAAGGCTCAAGGTTCTAGAAAAGGTTCGCAAGACCAAGTGCTGAAGTTTCGGAGACAAGGTTCTGAGTGAATAAGTTATGACGACTGAAGACATGATTATCTGGAGATTCAAATGTCACGATTCTACTCATGTTTCAATCATCTACCATTAGAAGCCTCTAAAGTTCAGAAGACAAATGTTATCGTTATCAATGACAAGTGCACAGTACGTAAAAGCCTTATCCCACTAGCTTGAATTGCAGAAAAGAAAAAGACGTGACGATACTATTTTCATCATTGCGTAACAAATCTTTTTCAATAGCCAACGACTTTATTTTGCTTGGCTATATAAGAAAAAGATCATATGCTTAAAGTGTGTTGGTGTGTTCAAATATTCAAATAGAAGTTGTCATTGTGGGAACACAACAAAAATTATCATAATGAAGATAATCAAGGAAGCTCCAATTACAAATCCATAACATGATTATTGTGATTTAAAGTGATCATTGAGTTAAATAGAACAAGGGTTGCTGTCTAGAATGTTCTAAAATGAATCAAGATGAAGAAGTTCTTCTCTTTACTATATTAAGATCAACAAAGCTTTCAGAAGCTTATGAAGAAGAAGACTTCAGCGATTCAAGTGCTTTAGGCTGTTGTCCGTGAAGAAGATACTTGAAGAAAAGAAGACCACACATTAAAGCTACAATACAATGTAATATTCTTAGTCTATATTAGGATCTTCTGATGTACTTAATTGAAATTACACTTGCTTGTTTAGAAGTATTCTTTTGTAAACAAACATTGTAAAAACATATAAGAGATTCTGCGGGATCAAATTCTATCGAGTCAATGATTGTTATATCTGGTTGGATCACTGAGCACATCATTGCAAGATTCCTTGAGAGACTGCGTGAAGTTATGATATTAAGAAGATAATGGTTGCGGTCATTATGGGAAATCCTAATAGGAGATTCTGAAGAATCAGATTCTGTTGGGTCAATGAATGTTATATCTAGTTTGGATCCTTGAACGTGTCATTTGATGTTAGTCACCAACGGTTGTCCATGAAGATTGTAATCATTTTGGTTATAGTGAATTAAGTCCTTGAGTTCAAGGCGAAATTACCTTGGTATGGTGGATTGAACTAGCTTGGGAGTTTCTCAAGTGAACCAGGATATATTACGTGTTCTTCACTTTTTCTTATGCTTAATTGTTTATGTTTCTACAACATATTATAAAGCATCACTTAACACAACAATGTTAAGAAAAGAAAGTTTGTTAAAAATGGAAAACCCAATTCAAACCCCATTTTTCTTGTGTTTTTCACACCTTCAATTGGTATCAGAGCTTCGGTTCTAAGGAGATAAAAAGTTTGCATTTTTATCAACACTTAACAGTGTTCAGTACCGATCCAGTGTGTGTGAAAAACCAATGGCTACACCTACTTTCATTATTGATAATAGGGATAATGATAGAGACCACTATAGTTCAAAACCTCCTATGTTTGTTGGGGAGATATTTGACTATTGGAAGGATAGAATCAAAATTTACTTTCTGGCATATGACTTGGATCTATGGGATTTGGTAGTTGATGGCTAACTCACCTAGTAGATGATAAAGTTCAGAAGATTGCAATAAATGCAGTGACAGAAGCACAGAAGAAAGTTTACAAGAATCATTACAAAGTAAGAACTATTATGCTTAGTGCTATTTCATACAATGAATATGAGAAGATCATGGATAGAGAGACTGAAATGTCTATCTTTGATTCTCTTCAGATGATGCATGAAGGCAATTCACAAGTAAAGGAAACAAAGGCTCTAACCTTAATTCAAAAATACGAAGCCTTCAAGATGGAAGACGGCGAATATATGGAAACGATGTTTTCAAGATTTCAGGCTCTTGTGGCAGGACTTAAGGTTCTGAATAAAGGTTACTCTACAGCAGATCATGTCAAGAAGATTATCAGAAGTATGTATAAAAAGTGGAGATAATTGATAACTGCTTTGAAACTTTCAAAGGATCTGGACAACACCTTTCTTGAGGAGCTGATTAGCTCTTTAAGAAGTCATGAAATAGAGCTTGATCAAGATGAACTCAAAAGAGGGTAAAATCAGTTGATCTAAAGTCTACGTCTAGAAATGCCAAGGCTTATCAAGCTAATGAAGAATCTGAAGAATCTGAAGAAGATTCAGATGATGAAGAACTTTCATTGATATCCAAAAGAATCAGTCAAATCTAGAACCTAGACAGAGTAAATCCGTAGGACTAAGAAGAACTAATGGTAGATCAGAATCTACATTCGGTTAAAAGAATTCATCTGGAAAAAAGGTTACTTGTTATGAGTGAAACGAGCCTGGACATTACAAAAATGATTGCCCAAAGCTTAAGAAAAATAAGAAGCCTAAGAAGGATTACAAAACTAAGAAGGGTCTCATGGAAACATGGGATGATTCAGAATCAGAAGATGAAGATTCTGATGAAGAGCATCCCAACGTAGCATTCATGGAAAAGACTAGTACGAGTGAAGCAATATCAGAAGACGAACTGACACTTGATGATGAGTCAGACTTTGATGACGACCAAGAGGTACTTTCTTCCTTATCTCATTATGAACTTGAAATTGGTTTATCAGAACTAATGAAACGATATCAATCTCTTCTAAGTAAACACAAAACTCTGAAAAGGAATTTTGTAGTTACTTCTGAGAACTCTACTAAAGATGAGCAAAACCTTTCTGATTTAAGTGAAAAATTATTTGTTTTAGAAAAATAAAATATTGCTTTGAAAAGTAAAATTTCTAGATTAGAAGAAGAGATTATCTCTAGTACATCTGTTACTAATGAAGTAATCAAATATGATAGAGCTTTTCAACACTTTCTAGCTAAAAGCATAGATAGAAGTAAAATGACTTTAATGATCTATAGAGTTAGCATAAATGAAAGTAGATGCTTGGGATATCCAGGACCATCAAAGAAAATTGATGAGACTCTGATTATAATACCCAAAACCTCTTTCTGAACATTTCGTGCTTGCTGGCACAAAATTGAAATGTCCAGAACAAGAAGGTTGTGATACTACAGTAGCACAAACACAGACACAAAAGGAAACTTCTAAACCAAAATATCATGCACAAATTTCATATGATTATCCTGTTGCACAAAAGTCTAAAGGTGTCAGAACCTCTGGAAATTCTAACAAGAGAG